CTCGGACAAATATATCAGACACTATGTCAGCACAGGAGAATAACAGTAAATGACTGGGACTGAACTTAAAATAAAACGAGCAATAGAATAGAAAAGTCATTCTATTTAGGTATTTTCAAGTGCCATAATTAAACGCGTGCCCTCTTGTGTACTGTCCCAATAAAGTGCCACCAACATTATGTTGTGAAACAAAAATCTGAGGCACCCCGAGAACAGACCACCTGACAATAATGACTTGGTTTCAGCCGATATAATGTATATTTTTGATGGAGAGAATCTTCAGACAAACGATAGAAAATTATTTCTGTTTAAATAGGAAGATTAACACTGTTAGTTATGGTTAACGTCTTCATAAAAAAAGTAAAGAAAAAAAAACATGTCAGATCAAATAATTCTGTAACATAGGCAAATGGGTGTGTGAATTTGCATGCAATCTCTGCCACATGTTTAAAAGCCTCCTGAGAAAAATATGTATATACAGAGGGCAATAAGTGAGTCTTATGACTTCACCAGAAATATCTCACACAGTAATGGCTCAGGGCTCGATAGTTGTATGTCAGAGTGAGAGAGAAACATGTGAGGGTCATTAGTGGACTACGTAAGGAACCTTTGGGCAAAGAGATGGAATTCCACCCTTCCTCTCTACCCCAGCTCTAACCACTCTGGGCAAAGAACAGAAGTGACACTGTTCGTATTTTTTATTTTGTAAATATAGATAAAAAGATAAGAAAACGAGCTGCCGGTACACCCAGCGTTAAACATTACGATTTCAAGGATAACAAAGTTAATATAGGTTCAACTTGAAAACTTTTAGCAGACAATGATTCAAATGTCAAGGTTATTTTAGAAAAGAAAGACAATTCAGTCCACTTTGTGAGACTACAACAGGAGTCAATACTAGCTGAGGTGTTAAAAAATGTCTGTTTGGAAAGATACAAAGATGCAAAAGCAAAAAAAAAAAAAAAAAAAAAGAAACCATCCTTGGCATTACTTCACCTCTACTAGTACCACAACATAATCCACGGTCAGTAAGGTCAGATGGGTTCTTAATGGTGTACCAGAGTACACCCTTCAACGCCCACCTCCATCAATTTGACTGAAAGACTTCAAATTACAAAGTAGCAAATCACTGCATGTGAATCACAGAACAATCTCTACTTTGACAGTAGGGTCCCTGGGTTAAGAGCAACGTGACCTAGAACTATTCATGGTATTCGGTGATTTACGTCAGTGTTTCCTAACGGTTTTTGTGCTGCGGCACATATTTTTCATTAGGAAAACCCCACGGCACACCACCAAACACAAACAAAAACACACACTCGTGTGCCACGGCACAGTGGTTGGGAATCACCGGCTTAGGTTGAAAACAGTACAGAGTTTGTTTTCCTTCTTGATCATAAGAGCTATTTCTCTTTCGTGATAGAAAGCTGATGTAAGGTTAGAGTAATCGTTCAGGCCGACTTCGTAAAAAAAAACAAAAAACAAAAACGCTCTAATCAATGCTCATACTATTCTGAAGGTGTACTCGTTGTGTAATGGTTGAGGAACTAAACTACAATTTCTAATAAGGCGTTGTCAAGTTTTAAGCTACAAGGCAGTATTCCAAGCACCACTGCATCGATTAAAATCTTTATTTCAAAACAGACCTTGTAGAAAACTAGAAAAAGTTTTTAAAAAGTAAACTGTTGAAAGCTGGATGCACATGCTGGTTGTTGTAGGTTTCAAGAAAGTTTGAATGAGGACATTTCTAAGGTCAAATTCTGAAAACATCTGAACACGTACATCTGAAATTGACTTTTAAAAAGCCGTGTAGTTAAGCAGTGTTGCTTTGACTGACTCAGCTCCTCTGTATTGATCACTTGCTCACACTATTCATCCTCTTCATTGGCAGACAGTCCTATTCAGTACATTCAAAAAAAATGGTCACCACAAACAGACGTTTCATTTAAAATGCAATTGCCTGGTGACCACAGGAGGCGTTCAGTTGCTGCATTAACTGGATCGTTTAGAACTGACGTTCATCCCAGCTCTTAACAAAGATTCAGTTGTTTTTAAAGGGTTTTGTAATTAAATAATTAAAAGCATGGCATTTTATGCAAGTACTTAGAATGTGATATTTTAAGAAAAGATTAATCACTAGTAAAGCAAATCCAGCAATTGCTGATTGATTGCCATTTGACTGAAAAACAAAAACTGGTTAAATAATGAGACAGACAAAAAATATGTTTCATTTTGCAGGTGTGACTGCAGCACACATTTCATGTGAACAACTTGACACTTTCCTTGACAATAGCTGGCTGTTCTTCCAGGTACACTGTGACTAATGATCATTTTTGCAGACTAGTATAAAAACAAGCCTTTTCACAGGACATTTTTGTCCCTGTAAGATTTGAGGTACTATCGAATTACCCCACCTTCGCCTGATAACTGGGATGGGCTCCAGCTCCCCAACAACCCTAATGAGGATTGAGTGGTAAAAGATGAATGAATGAATAAATGAATGAATTGACACTGATAGTACTGAGCTGCACTGGCTAGCTGCCCAACTGCTGGGATTTGCTCGGATCCCTTGTGTTACATTAAAAGGCGTAAGCAGTATATGAATGAATATTAAAGAATAGAATTTTAATTAAAGAAAAATACAGGCTGAAAGTACTTGAACATACATTTAACCAGCTAAGAGAAACAGTTATAGCTCTTATATTGACCTTATACTGTTCAGCATATATAAGTTGGGGTGGAAGCTGCTCATTATGCATCAGTTGTAACTGAGGACAGGTGTTTCTGCACAGAACTGATGTATTGCTATGTACAAAACAGTCCCAAGGAGCATGTTTTGCTGCAGCCCATCTGTCAAGCTTCAATGATTTCCTAAAGTAGTCCTGAGCCCATGTGGCTGTATCCATCATAGTGGCATCAAGTTTCTCATGCAATACCAGAAAGGTGCTCTGAGATTGTGCACATTTTTTTTTTTAGACCTTTTTAATCTGATGTTTAGAGACTTTTTTTTTCTATTTATCGACAGCAGCGTTAGTTGAATATACTTTCCGCATTTGTTTTCAATTTCATGTAATTAGAATATTGGCTGTAAATTGACAGAATACTTTTTAGATTAAAACAAAGAGCCCGAAATGTTACCTGTATCAACTTTTCTGTCTTAATTTGGCTCTGTTCTAAAGTGTTACCCACATTTATTTCTAAATTTGTCTAAATGATGAACAAAAAGGGTGGACCCTCAAAACATTACTTACACTTTTCTTTGCTCCCCTACCTTACAGAAATGTATCTAACAGAAATATTTGTTTAGATCACCAAAATTATTATTCATATTTATATGAGCAGGTTTTTCACTGTGAGTGACTGTAGTAATATCAGATGGATGATTTCCCTCTGCACATAACCTGTGGATTAATGCTTTTTCAGAAATCAGAAATTGATTGTAATGTCATTATTGCTTGTGATATGTAAATGAGATTGGACCTTACTCTTTGTTAAGGTTTAATGACTAGTTAATAATGTTCTTGGAAGAAACCAAAATCATGTCTGGTTTCTTTAAACACCAGACATGTAAACACCAGGAGCCACTGAGTGAATCCACAATTGACAAGGTTTTAGAAGTTAACATTTTTGTAAGATATGTAACATGTAAACACTTGACAACATCTTATGGCAAAATAAGCTGAGACTGATCGTGGTAGGCTGTTGCCTACCTACATATTTCTGCTCAGATATAAGAAAAGGGGAATATTTATTAGGGAAAAGCTTCATTCTTCATATTTTAACAGTTTCTTATATTTAAAAGTCCATCCCTGAAGGTATCAAGTGTGACTGTGAGGGTCTCGACAGTCTGGGCTAGAAGTATTCCCCTTTATCTGATCACAGGCTCATTTGACATTCTATATTTTAAAAGGGGAAGAATTGTAGAAACTGATAATAACACCATTAGTAATCTACGCATAATTTATGGAGCTGGAAGTGCCTTTAATGTTCTACAATAATTAAAATGCTTCTAAGGAAAATCACATGCAGGGTTAAGTGCACAAGTTTCCAAGTAACTGAACATTTCTATTGCGCACACAGTAAACAACATTATCATAATGTGCACATATAAAATCATCATGCTAACAAATAATTTCCATCAGGAAGGACCACTACTACACACATTTTATTGTGTGCTAATTTTACAGCTGTGTTGCTGTCTGACATACCGCACTCTGAGAATTCACATCATCCATATTTGAAAAACACATTTGACAACAGCCAACAGTGTGCCCCCGAGCAGGCAAGCATCACAGGTGTGAACCTTTTTTAATAAAAGTATTTCCCAAAGCTTCAATCCTCTGTCTTCATCTTGGACACAGTCTTGTTCCCCCACTGCTTCCAAACATCTCTCAACCAGCTGCGCGGATAAATAACAAGGCGCTCAACGAAGAACAAAAACATTCCCAACGGGGCCTGAGGTTGGACCACTCCTAATTACATGACAACACACCACAAATGTTTCTTATGTTTTTCTGGTATCCCACTTTCTTCTCTGCTTGAGACCCCCCCCCAGTGTCTGCACAGCATCTTACCATCGCTCTTAAGATTTTTAACAACCATAACAAAGAGATAAAGAAACATAACATTTCTACTAAACTGCTTTGATGATGTGAAACACTCACATGCGGAACCTCTGGTGCTTTGGTTACATTATTTTTTATGTTTGATTACTATTTGCCATGTCCTTTTTTATAACCTTTTATTCTTTTGGTGATTCATAGTGTTTTTACTTAGGCTTAATTACATGCTATTTGTGGATTTATCATCGTGATTATTCATGACTGTAATAAACACAATTAATCATGATTAATGATGACCAAATAAATATTTATAAATATACAAAACATTTTTCTGCATATTGCCTGAATATAATGACTAGCTAAGCAGTTGATTTGGGAAAACGGCCATTAATTTATACTTAAACAATGTTGTATTGTATTATTCAAAGCTGCACTTACCCTGTTTAATGCAGGTCAGGTCTTCTGCCTCAGGTCACAGCTGTCAGAGGAATCCCAGATTAGGCTGAGGAATTACTGCTGCACACACCTTAGTAAAATGTCAAACAAGAGGAAGGATCATATTTAATGTTGCATAATCACTTCATTTGCAGAACTGAGGCGGCCTTACTTTGTAGGAGTGATTCCCAACCACTGTGCCGTGGAACACTAGTGTGCCATGAGAGATCATTAGGTGTGCCGTGGAAAATTATCAAATTTCGATTATTTCTACCTATAATTTATTTATTGCAGTTTGGTTTTTTTCGTCAATGTGTCTGCGACAGGCAGAACAATGAATTATTCTTCACTAGGTGGCAGTAGATGGCTATGAAAACTAAAAAAAAAAAAACATATCAGACCTGTTTGGGATCTTTGAGAGTGTCTCTTTTTTTCTTTCATTCCTGCCAGTATATCAGCAGTCTTTAACTGAACAGGCGATTTTAGGGGAGATTTAAGTCAATAATGATGTCATTTAAACTAGAAGGATATTATATTTCTTTACATATACGTTTTGTGAGATTTCTGTTCGGTGGTGTGCCGTGGGGTTGCCCTGATGATATATACTGTATATATATGTGAACAGTGTTCTCTGTCTTTGACATGCATTTTGAGACTGTCGAAATTTCAAACCTTATTTGTAATTAAACAATGGTGGAAGTAGAAAAAATAAATTTGTATACAGGAGCTTTTTTTTTAAAATAATTTTCCTAAATTTTTTTTTTTTTCAACAGGACCAAATGTTTCCCACAACACACTAAAAGCACCAGAGACTTAGAAGTACCCTTAAGTCTTGTTTATCGTGCGAAATAACAAGACAGGATCCCAAAGTGTTTACAGTGATTAACATAATTGGATTTCTTTTAACATTTAAAACATCTCACGCTCCAAAACAAGTGCAACAAAGACAAAAGGTTCCATTGCTTCAAAATACCTTTAAAATTGCCTTAGGTTTCTGCAAAAAAAACCCCAAAAAAACTAAAACTGTGTTGCAGATTTTGTGATGAAATTTTGATAATTCTTGCTAAATAGATCACTAAAGTTGCTCCTTGGTCTTTGTGGTCTGTGGAACATTAAAAAAGAATAAGTTTCTCAAATAGGTAAAGAGAGAATTTCAAAACTATATAGTTCAGTTTTGCTGTATATCTGTGAATAGTAACAACTCCATTGTAAATGTGGATTCTACTGTAGAACATCTACAGTAGTCTGCACAGCAGGTATAAAGGGTAATGGCGTTACAAACAATAATTTTGTAAAATCTCAATTGTGTTGAGAGCAAATAGTGATTTCACATAAAAAGAAACTTTAGACAAGTTATACAATAAATTATTCTTACTTTAAGGATAACTCATTTTACTAAGATGATGTTCACCATTATAGAATTAACCACTAAAACCATCATCATTTAGAACCATTTGCCAAATGGTTTTCTAAAAATGTTAGTACTAATTTTTCTCCTAAATTTACATTACACCTGTTTCCTGCCGAGTCCTTTCATGACCAATAATTCAACTGTGCCCACTGGTTTCTTCAAATGATTTGGTTTGTACTTTAAAATGATCATTCTGCTGCTTGCTTTTTATTTTTGTGCCTCAAACTTGCTGCTTCAGTCTGTCCTTTTGGCTCATTCAGGTTATCTTGTCTCCAGGAGCCAATCTCGCTGTGATTGATCCACTCATTTCTTCTGCATTAGAGTGCCAGAGGTAAAAAACCATAGCAAACCATTAACACCACCAATAAAACTGATGACGGTAATAAAAACCAATTGAGGCATTATCTGCAAAGCTGATATAAGTAATGGAGACCAGGTTATGTCAGATGCATTATGTTTTCAAAGACACCCACACACACGTACAAATAATGAATATATGCATGTATACATGTAACCCCTTAATTCCACAGAGACACATACACACACTGCAAATACACCATCCATTTACATAGAACAAGTAGACCAGCCAACCACTATTTGATTAAGCTTTTTATTTAATAAACTAGCAATTACTTTCCAATACAAAAAGTTTCTGTCTGGAGACCACCTATCAAACAGGCCTTTATGAAATTAGCTTCTTCAACATCAAGATTCCCAGGAAATATTGCTGCATTCAAAGAGCTCACAGTTGGGATAACACTTGGACAGAACCAATGTTAATGAAATGTGGTCCAGTTGTCTTGTCTCAGCACATTTCACTCATTGGGGCGAAATCAATAGGATGCAGGTCATGGTCAGGGCTGTGGCCACCATCAATTTGTTTGAATGACAAATGAATCCCTCAAGTATTGGCTGTAACAACTGAGGTCTTAGGATGAATAACTCTCCATCCTGTGCCAATGCATCAATTTAAGAGCCCAGGACTGCTAAGTGTAATCACAGACAGCCCATCTACAACGTTACTCCCAGTTTCTGGTCATTAATACATGACCAATACAGGCCTGTATCTGTTTAAATTCAGTTACTGAAATATGATATAAAGATAGCACCACATTACAAGTGTGAATCTGTCTGTAGTTTAACTAGTCTTGCCAGCCTGTATACTTTTCCTAGGGTTGTCATAATTAAAATTTTTAACCGTACCTAAAATTGAAGGATCAGCAGACACACGTTTGGACTTTAAACATGGCATTTTTAGCTGGAGCACAAATGGTGAAACATAAAGTGTTTACAGCAGTGTGTGCAAATAACGTGCATCAACTGTGTATTAGTGCAACAATAAGTGAATGTACAGTGGAATTCTTCGATTTACAGAGCACGTAATTGTGCATATGTGTTACATGTGTTGGACTGCCTTATTTTTACCCATTTATAATAATATAATAATATGAAATGTGTAATAAGTAATACTATATTACAAGAGTGTATTTGACAATAAATTATTCATAATTCTGAAAATTGACAATAGTGGTTAAAACTTTTGTTCAATGTGTTAACAGGCCTTTCTTTGGAAATTCAGGCACCATTTACAGATGGATTATTGCATTTTTAATGTGTGTCATTAAAATACCTTATGTGATACTGAAAGTAATTTAGGGAGCAGCATCCAAATTGTAACAGTTAGGAATGACTTGGGGTAATGGCATGATTTCCAGGTAAACAGCTGTGTCTGTGCTTGAAAACAAGACCCTAGTTTTCCACTTTAACAAGAGTCAGAAGCTGTTTGTCACAGCTTCACAGTTAATAGGAACAATAATGATCTTGGATCCAGATTGCCAGTTTATATGAAAGTTCATGCTTTAGTACAAACAAGTGACATAGAAAACAGCCAGCAGCGCAGTCAGCTGCTGCAGGAGGCAATATAGAAAATTGGGAATCGGTTAAATCATTACAGGTGATTTGTCTGGGACAGATTACTAAGGTGTAAAGGTCTTATCTATAATACTCATATAGATGATAAAGAGATGTAGGAATATCACTTTGGAGTTCGGAGATGAATTCTTTGGCCAGAAATAAAATTTCAAAAGAGGGATACTGCTGGTATAAAGTCACATATCTACTTTGTAACATTGTCACATCTGTGAATCATTGTCCTCCAACTTAAGTTGGACCTGGTTCCATTCAGAATAAAACTAGCCCAGCAGCAGTAAGAGAGGAGCCATAAGCCCTTGCCACCTGCCAACCTACATCTGCCCTTGTCATCTACCAAGAACATTTATTCACAATGAAATGTTACAAATCAACCTAATTTATTCTTTAGAAATTGAAAGAAGGCCACTTCAAATAGAGCATGCAAGACTTCTGGAGTGTCACTTCTTTGAGACACAAAAAATACAACATTAAAAAACCCAAAATATTAAACATTTAATAAAAAGTTGTATGTTGATTATAATACTTTGATGCAAATACTATAAAGAACTACATAGAAATTAAATTAAAAATGTAATTGCACCTAAAACAAGCTATCAGTGACACTTCACTAAAAAAATGGTGGTTGATGAAAAACTGACCCCACATTTGCCCTAGGGAAAATGTTCTATTCATACATCAGCAACAATGCGCATTTTACTTTAGTGTTTTTTTATACGTCAGCAATTGTTCAAAACAGCAAGCTGTAGTAAAAATATATATGAAACAATCAGCATTTTCACCACTACCATTACCCAGAGAGAAACCACGGAGAGTAAAAAGATAACAAGTCATCTGTCACAGTGAACCAGGAAGTCAAATAAAAACAACGTTTGAGTGAAAACTAAAAACGCATGCATGTGTCAGGAAAACAAGTTATTTACCACATATGTTGGTAAGTGTTTTGTAATATATTTTCTCATGGATCAAGGTTGAACTGACCAGGACTAAATAAATAATGTGTCAAACATACATTTTAAGAGCAAGATTAAAAGATTACCCCCCCACACACGCACGCACACACACACACACACACACACAGAGCCCAACCCTGAATCTTAATCTGCCTTTGTTTATTGCATTTGCAATAAGTCCATAAAATTAAATGACTTCATTTTAACTTGACAACCTAAAGTAACTTAGGTACAGTAAATGATGCTAGACCAGCAGTGGGCAAACTTTTTGCCTCACAGGCCAAAATTAGCTTAATTTTAATATTTGATTGGCGGGCCGGTTCAGTACTGGTTGGATGTGGAATGCTGGAATAAACAAGAAAAAAAGCTAATACCTCAAAATCCATGAGGTAATTTGATAAAGATAATTGAGATAAGTCACATTACAGTCGATTTGTTGTAATGCATGAAACAAAAGTATTGACATCAGTCTCTACCATACCCTGTACCAATGTTTTGCTAAGCAGATAAGAAAAGCCAGCGGGCCGTACCTGGCCCACAGGCCATAGTTTGCCTGTGTCTGTACTAGACCATAACACAACTGTTGTTTGTTTGGTGTAGATGGCAGGAGGCTGCACAAACCAGCAACTAAAATGTTATGTAATCCATCACACAACAACAAGTCCAGTGAAAATAGCAACAATGCACTGCTAAATATAACATCAAACAGCAGCCTGCAGTCTGTTAGGATTTGTGCTGCTGCAAGCCTAAATTTTATTAATTATGAACAGTTCCGATCAGTGTCATTTCTAGTTTCCT